AAAAAAAAAAAAAAAGGACTTACTATAAAACTACACTGAAAACCCTAGTGGTGTAATGGTTAAGAGCTATGGCTGCTAACCAAAAGGTCAGCAGTTCGAATCCACCAGGTGCTCCCTGGAAACTGGATGGGGCAGTTCTACTCTGTCCTATAGGGTTGCTATGAGTCAGAATCAACTCGATGGCAACAGGTTTGTTTTTTTTTTTTAAATAAAACTACATTAGTTAAGACAGTGTGGTAAAAATTAAAAAAAAGTAAATCTATGATTTAAAGAAACAAAGAAAGAAACAAGGGTTTAGGAGAGATGAAGTGACTTGCCCATGGCCAATGAGCCAGTAAGTGGCAAGGTTAGGTTCTAATCCAAGGGAGAGAGACAATGTGACGAAAGATAATGAGTTTAGGAGCCAATGGATTTAGGTAAAATCTAAAGCTTCCCATCCTTTCTGAGCTTTATTTTCACATAATGAAAAAAAGATAATCTTCCAGCGTTGGTGTGGGAAGCAAATGAGATGGCATGTGTAAAAGCACCCAGCAGGGGGCCTGGCATGTAGTAACTGCTCAAGCAATGTAAGCTGCCCTGCTGTCTGACTGCAAAGTGCAAGCTCTTGGTCAACAAGGCTCTGAACCCCTGGTAAGGTGATCTGTGCAAGACAGAGCCACGGAAAGAAGTGAAAGATAAGGAGAATTGGGATCTTGGTTCTACCACTTTAGGTGAGTCACTTAACTTCTTTGTGTCTTTTTCCATATCTGTAAAATGGAACTAATAATTCTTTTCAGATCAAATCTCACAGGGTTACTGTGAGCAGGAAATGAGCCAGTAAAAGGGAAAATTCCTGTGAACTATTAACCTCCTGTACAAATACAAGTGACTATTATTTTGAGTGGTAAGGAGCAAGAGTCCCAATGGGAGGTGGACTCCCAGGAATACAGAAATGGCTACCCTGAAGTTAACCTTCTCCCAAGTATAACTCAAGTGAAACAAGCTCACAGATCAAAAGGACAGAACAGGTGTATATCATTATCAAAGATTTCTTAGAGCTTGGATCAACAAACTAGGGATTGTAATAAGATGCTAAGATGATAGCACTGTCCCGTTGATTTGATATTACGTTTACTGTACACTGTGAAAGGAATTGGGTAGTACCACCTGATTTCAAAAACAAATACTCAGCATCATTTCAGCATCTGGAAAAAACCCAGGATATCCCTAATTTTCAAAGAAGCACCATATAATAATTAAAACTGTTCAATTTCAGCTCATTTAACATTTTCACATAGGAACCAAATACAAAAGCAATGACGATAAAAATATTTTCATTAAAAAATTAAACCTTGAGCTCTAGGGAACTTAATAATGACCTACCCATTTTAGCTTCAATATGAATAATAAAAATGAATATGAATTCACCTTCACATCTTCATCCAGTTTCATAATTTTCTTAATACGAGCCAGTGGGAGTTCCTGTACTCGGAAATCTTTCTGAAATGAGCAACAAGAGGTGTGTAAATGTAAAGGACAATCAACTAAGTGGCAGAGCATGCCAGGCATCAGAAAACATTCTGACTGGCTCAGTCCCTTCTGTCAGGAAATATGGCAGGAGAGGAGGTACAGATGAAATGCAGAGAATACAAGCTCCAGAGCAAAATTCTGTGCTTAATCCACGCAGAGCTTCAAGCAATTAAAGGGTTTTAGGACAAATTTATGATGGCTTCCAATAGTACCCTCATGAAAGGCTGCTGTTAGTTGTCGTCAAGTTGATTCAGACTCATGGCAACGCCTCATGTGCAGAGTAAAACTGCTCCATAGGGTTTTTAAGGCTGTGACCTTTCAGAAGCAGATCCTGGGCCAGGCCTGTCTTCCAAGGAGCCTCTGGGTGGGTTCAAACGGCCAACCTTTTGGCTAGTAGTCAAGCACTTAACCATCAGTGCCATCCAGGTAGCCCCAAATAATATCAGGTTTGCCTCAGCATGATATAGAGGTGATTTATGAATGCCTTTTTTCCTCCCAAGAAAGTTCACCAGTCTGCAATATGCTGATTAAAATTAGATTTCTGCCTCTGTGGTACTCCTCTAAACTGCTAGTTCTTTCTTCTATTTGAGAGCTACAAAGGTAAGCGACAGCAGCACCTGCTTGCAGGGATCCACAGTTCTCTTCAGCTAGTGCAATACCGCCCATTTCTGACCTCTGCACTAACCTGACAACAGAACGGGAAGGCTCCTTTCCCATCACAGAAGCAGAGGCCTTGTCTCCAAATTTTGCATTGGGAGGACGGGGCATGGAAAAGGGTGGGGGCGAATTTACCAGCTGCCTTTTAGGAACAGTCCTCCTATTTTTTTTCCTTAACAAACAGGACTGGGGTTGGGGGAACCACATTTTACTGTGGATGAAATTTAGGAAAGGGCTTTTTGACCAGCACTACTCAGTTATTTGCAATTTAAGCCCTTTTTTGTTTTGAAACTATTGGTATTTAAACACATGCCGATGATGGATGCAATTCTAGAAACAAGAAAAATTGTGCATTTCAGAGCTGCAATGAAGAAGGTGCAAAGCAGAAATTAGCTAAAATCAGCATATTCTCTACTGGGACTAGGTGTCAAATGATTGATTCTATAAGTGGTCTGAAATGTGACTCACCAAACTCAATAATGCTCACCTGGGAATTTGCATCATCGCATTATGGAAGGAGCAGCTATTATTTGAGATTCGGTGTAATTAACATGCGTAAGTGAACTTTCTTTTCCAAGACCCAAAGAAAACCTCGACTATATGTCAAAGAAAGGAGTGGTGGCGTTTGGGAAGAGCATCACCAGTCTTCCCACAATTCATTTATTACAAAGGAAGAGCACTATCAGGATAAAATGAACACCCAAGACATCTGATTTCTCCATGCAAATCCAACAAGTTGCTTGGCTACAACTCAGCTCCACAAACTTGAAACACCAGTTTTTCATCTTTTCCATTTCCAAATTAGGTATCAACATTTTCCATGAAGCCTCTATAACTAAGCCTGGAGTGGCAGAGGCTTAAAAGTCCAGTTTTTAAAAATTTCACCAGGAGTAGACAGCAAGGCACATTGTTTCTGTTCTTATCTCCTCTCTTCCTTTCTTTCTTTATTCATTCATGCAACTCAACTAATGTACCCACTATATAAAAGATACAAAGACGAATGGATTCTTACCTTTGAATAGCTTACAGTTTAATTATGAAAGACAGTCACATAAAAACATTATAATCCTCTACCCTATACTAGAGGAGGGTGTAAAATCCCAGACGGACACAAAAAAGAGAACGACCAGCTGGTGATGGAGGACTGGAGAGGGAGAGGGGCACAGAAATGTTCCATAGACAGGCCAACACCTGAATCGTGTCTAAGGGCTGATGAAAATTTGCTTGTTGGAAAAAGCATGAGAGCATTATTCAGATAGAGGGAAGAGCATGCACAGAAAACGGAGACACAAAGAACACAGCCTATTTAAGTGTTAGACGTATGACCTGGGTACAGAGTACGTATGGGCGAGCAGCAGGAAAGGATGCCACACTGGGGCCAGATCCTGAAGGGATTAAAAAAAAAGTTTAAACACAAAAAGCAATGATTGGTCTTCCTACTTGTGTGGCATATCAAAGAGATTCTACACAGAAATGCCAAAGAAAATGTCAGAGATGATATTTCTTTGGAAGGCCTCCCAGGATGATACACGCAGCACAAGATTATGACCAAAGATTTAGCTCTCTTACATGTATGCCCTCATCATTTGGCTTGGTTGTTTAATATAATTTCCACAGATTGTTCCAAGATTACTTAACTAAAGCTCAAAACTGATAAAAAGGACCTCATTCCCCAACTTGAAAGAGTAAAAGATAATTTTAGAAGTTCTGAGACTATTCTTTAATCAAAAGCAACAAAAAAGGGTCAAGGATAAAGAGATTATATCCTTCTCACCTTGGAGAGGTATAAAATGAGGCAGTGATTTACAAAGAAGCTCTGTTCTAAGTACCCCAGCCTTAACCTTTTCTTTTGTGAGAAACTACTTTTCATGAGCCCCAAACCTGGAGATCTGAAGGGAAAGTTTATGAAAAGTAGATCTTTAGACATGTGTGTACTGAGGGGGCGGGGGCGCGCATCACTGCTGACAATAGCCAGTTTTCTATCATCTCATCCTACTTTTCACATGCAGGCTTTGTGATAATGTTGTTGAGAGCCCCTCCACTATCAGCAGATTAAGGTCCATTAAAATGCTCCCTAAGTCATTGGCAACAACGCAACTTATGTCTAACTATGTGAATAATACTTAATCCCTCCTCCTGAAGCTGATCCAAATGGAAGAACAACTGACCCACACTGACTCTTTCTTTCTACTTTTGCAAGTGATATCAGCAAGGTGGAAAGCAGATTCTCTCTCAGAACATTCTCATGCCCCTGACCATAACCAAAGAACTACATTAAAACTGCTGACATCTGAAATTGCCAAGTATCGCAAAGTCTGGATTTACTCGATGAGAGTTTGGAGCCAAAGAAAAGTCAATGGGTCTTGGCTGTGCTAAAGAACATCCGGAGTTTCAAATAGTGATGAGAAATCTTTTCCAGGCCTACCCAGTCAGGTACTTCTGCAAAGTCAAGATTTTAACCCTCTCAAAAGCAGTGATTCTCAGCCTTTGCTGCACATTAAAATCACCTGGAAGAGCCTTAGAAAAATAAGATGCCTGGGCTCTACCAGTACCAACTGAACCAGGAACTCTAGGGGGTGGGGTCCGGGTATCATGCTTTTAAAAACCCTCTAGGTGCCCATGATCCATAGTGATGTTTAAGAACCACTGCTTTAAAACTCTGAGATTCACAGTGAGGTACTAACACCTGCACTGGCATCACCTGGGAACTAAACAGAAATGCAGAATCTCAGGCTCCACCCCAAACCACCTAAATCAGAATCTACATTTTAACAAGATTCTTATATGGGTCATACAGACAATAAAATTTGAGAAGCACTGCTCTAAAGGAAGGGCTAATGGCATATTTTGTAATGGTCCACCAGCCTCCACCACTGAGCTCTTGTTTAAATGGTTATCTGATTTGACCGTAAAGTTAGAAATGTCAATGTCCAATCTAGAGGCACTAAGAAATAAAAAGATGAAACTGGCATTTAAAAGAAAGTGACGTAGGCATTAAATTACAGCTAATTCAAGGCTGAATAGGATGCCGGGAATAGTTAGGGGAGAATTAGATATTTCTTTTCAAGATTCAGCTCCCTTCTCCCCCAACAAAAAAGACAAAGTTAGCTTTCTCTTCTCCACTTTCAAAGAGGTCCAGAGGGGTAAAATTCAATGCCAAGAAGTCTGTTAATTATTGTTCCCAGAGTTCTGCTGAGAAGAAACATGGTATTTTCACAATCACTCTGGTATACAATCATTTTGGTATGGTTTTTAACCAACTTGAATCCCAGCTGAACACCAGCTATGTTTATGGACAATTACAGAGCTTGAAAGAGTGAGCAGAGTGTGATGGCCAAGCTGAGATGAAAGATAAACTGCTATCACCAGATTCAGACCAAAATGACTGGGCCAGTGTTTCCAATACATCATGGTGTATATTACCCAGCGAACGTCTCTTATTTGTTTTGGAACAACTGTGTCCTAGTCTTAGAGACCACAACACCTTATGAATATTCTCATCAGTTTCATCTATGCTTGCAGAGTTTAAACATAACGGATTTTTTGAAAATCTGTTAAGACATTTTGAGGTGTCAACCTAGGAGGCTCTGATATATCTGAAGAAGTCTGGTTGTAAGTGCTGCTGAGTATAAAACGGCACAGACTGAATGCTAAGATGTCTGGCTACCCCATTACACAGGCAGAAGTGCGTCAGAGAAGCAGATGCCTTCATGTACTGTGGTCAAAGGATCCTGCGTGGAGTGGAAAAGAAAGAGTCTAACCGAAGGAAAAGTCATGCAGGCTCTTCCGGACTGCAGTCTCACTCAAAGCTGACACTGATGTTGCTTTGCACTGAATCTGAAGTAGAGGAGGAGTCTGACTCATTCAAATATTTACTGAGCACCTACTATAGGCCAGACACTGTTCTAAACATTCAATATAAAAGAGATACCATGGTAAAGGTCTAGGGGCCTTTTTCAAGAGTACACAGAAAAAAAATTTCAGTTAGTCATCAAAAGAAGAGTGGTTAAAGACAGTTTTCCTCCTTGCTCTTCTTTCTCTTCACTCACAAAAACCTGAACCCCTCAAAGTAATCCTCTTATAACCTTGGATAGATAAGATGTCTAGGTGCTGAAATTTGGTCAACACCACCAACCTGCTCTGTTGGCCACCAAACTTGAAAAGTAAACCAAGTATTTTAAAAATCAAAGCCCAACAAAACAAAGAAAAGTTGAGTGCTGAGCTTGAACCTCCAGAGCTTATCTGGCTACTTGCCTGATCCTGGATTTCTGTTTCTGGGCTCACGGTGAAGTGCAGGCTTGTTACATTGGCCTAGTTTCACCCCACTCCAGGAGGCACCTGGTCCCAGCACTAAAACGAAAACCTGATACACTTAACCATGAGATTATCCCCCCAAAATATGAACAAAACACCCCACTTCTGACTTTACAATTTCATTTTTTCCTACCTTCTCTTTTATATCTGAGACAATGCAGGTAACTACCACCTTTAAACTGCAGAAGAGAAACAATGACTTTTCACTGGAAATCTACCTCTGAACAGATGACAGTCTGAGAAAGGCCAAGTCAAGTTCAACTGCTGAAAATCCCCACATAAACAAACATGACCCACTGGTACATCCAGAACGAATTAGTGTTTTTACCCCTGAAATCACTGGGCATTTTCTGTTTATTTCATTCACTCATTACTTGTTTATTGTCTGTCTCCTCCACCAGAATATATGTTCCAGGAGTGCAACGATCTTGTCTGTCTGGCTCACTGCTGGATCCACAGTACACAGTACAGACACAGTTGGTGTATAGTATTTGTTGAGTAAATGACTAAATTGACCTTGTATGTCACATGTTAAAGGCCACTACACTTAAGGAATTGTGACATTAGTTGTATATTAGGTAGGAACCCAGTGTCCGCTCTGCCAGGATGGTAATACCTATAGGGCAGGAATGACACATCCTTCAATATTTGCTAAAATGACACCAAACAGAACATTCTTCATAAGGATGTGACATTACTGTCTGGAAATATTCCAATATAACCTGTGTCACTTCCTGTTACCACTCTCATTCACACTTTACTCCTACTCCAACCGCCACCACACAGGGTAACTTCCAGCTGCTCTGAACTTCTTGCTGTTCCTCTAACACAGGCCCTCTCCTCTGGGTCCCCATGCCTTTACAAATGCCCTTCTTTCTGCCTGAGATACACTCTCCCATCCTTTGCATCTGGTGAATGCTTACTCATATTTCAAGACCCAACAAAAATGTCCCTCTGTGTTAAGCCCGAACTCCACCAGGGAGAACCAAGCATCATTTCCTCTGTGCTCCCACAGCACTTTGACTTTACTGCTTCAGGACTCATCACTGTGCCTGATCCAGCAGCATTTAGTAAATACTTGTTGACTAAACAACTCTGTCTCATTGTAATTACTAAACTGTAAGCTCCTTAAGGGCCAGGGTCATATCTGATTCTTCTAAGTCAGTGGTTCTCAACAGAGGGAGAGTTTGCCCTCAAGAGAACATTCGGCAATGTCTGGAGACATTTTTGGTTGTCGTAACTGGGGGAGACACGCTACTGGCATCCAGTGGGTAGAGACCAACGATGCCGCTAAACATCCTACAACACACAGAACAGCTCCTCAAAACAAAGAATTATCTGGCCCAAAATGTCAATAGTGCAGTGCTACTGTTGAGAAACCCGGATCTAAGTGTATTTTTTAACACCTAGAAAGAGCGCCTGGCTCACAACAGATTTGTTGTTGAATAAACTGACCAACAATTTTCACCACGTTCTAGAAATTTGGCAAGACTATCAAATCAGGCCTAAAAAATGAGGTATAGCTACTGAAGGAGGTGAGATTTTTGCTTTTCTGTATCCCCTGAAAGATAGGTCTCATATTAAACTACCTGCAAGTCAAAGCATCATCCACCACACACACACGCCTGAGCAAAATCACTAGTTACCTCACCTAAGGTAAATTGTATTACTTTAATTTTCCCACCCAGAGGTCAGGAACAAACTATAGTTTTGTAAACATGCTTGAGATTAAAAATGTTTTAGTCTAAGTTTTGGCTAATCATCCTATAGCTCTCTCCTTTCTTCTTAAAAGTTTCCCACAAAAGCTTCCCATTCTTTCTTACCACTGTTAAATTCCGGATTTCTTCCATGACACGAGGCCAGAAGGACTGTAGGCTTTGCTGAGCATCACTGCTGCTGGTGCCACCAAATCCTCCTTCTGTGGACATTTTGACAACTGAGAACAAACACATACATGAGATATATTAAAATAGTAAAGCCAGACCTTCTATCCAGGTTAGTTATTCGTATCTTTTTTTGTGGATGTTTCCACTAATTCCTTCAAGTTTTCAGTCTGAGAAGGTATTACAATTTTGCTAAAGGGATTTTTAGCACAGATTTAAATCTCAGCAAAAATATACACAGGAAAGTTTTCCCTTCTTCCCAGCTTATACTACAGAGACTACCAAGAAACATCAACTAAAAAATCTCAAGTTGAAATCCTAATGTGCTTCTAGGGCTTTCAGTTTCTTATCTGAGAGGAAAAAGGCACTTGGCTGTCCTAGTCTAGTCCATAACTTTCAATGCCATTCCCCTCCAAAGCTTTTTCAAGTTCCCAATAGCTTCTCACACTCTATGCCATAGTCGACAGCAGATACATTAAGGGTCTCCAATTAATACTGTACAGATCTCACTTATATTAAAAGATGGTAAGAGGCAAATGTATACAGACCGAAGTTTATTAGTGGTTACAGGGGCAGAAGGGAGGAGGGAGAGGGAAAAAGGTTAACGGTGATGGAAAAATCACACTGATTAAGGGTAGGGCTGTACAGCCAATTATTGTAATTGCTGTCAATACGTTGTACACCTATAAAAAGTTGATTTGGCAAAAGTTGTGTGATAGACATATTTATAACTATGACAAAAAGTTGCTGCAAACACCTGATGGGATTTGGTTCCTTCGTTTGGAGGTTTAGGGTCATGGTTTCATGGGACATTCCAGTTAACCGGACTAGTAATGGGTTTGTTTAATGCTTCTGTTCTACCTCTTACCTCACTGTGTTGTGCTTGGAGTCTTAAAAGCTTGCAAACAGCCATCCAAAGCAGAATTGGTCTCTATTCACTTGGAGCAACAGAGGAAGGAGAGTTAGGAATAGGAAGAGGATATGGAATGTGTGGTTAATTGCCTCCATGAACAACTGCCTCCTTTGCCATGAGACCAGAAGAACTGGAGAGTGCCCAACTACCATTACTGAACATTTCTGACAAAAGACTCCATAGAAGAATCCTGATCAAAAGGGGGAAAACGCAGAATAGAATTTCAAATTCTCATGGACTCTAGACTTTCTGGAGACATGGAGGGTAGATGAGCCCCTGAAACTGCCCTGAGATAATCTCTAAACCTTAAATGAAAAATATCCCCTGAAATCATCTTAAAGCTGAACAACAGTTTAGCTAACTAGTAAAAAAGGTTGGAGCCCAGGTGGCATAGTGGTTAACAGCTCAGCTGCTAACCAAAAGGTCAGCAGTTCAAATCTACCAGGTGCTCCTTGGAAACCCTCTGGGGCAGTTCTACTCTGTCCTATAGAGTCGCTATGAGTTAGAACCGACTTGAGGGCACCTAACAAATCAGTAAAAAAATGTCTGCCTTGAGCATTATGCTCTGTTAAGAACTATCTATATGGGATCAAACTGACAACAGCAACTCAAAAGATTAGACAGGTACCTTAGGGGGCAGTGAGTTTATGTTAATGGCGGAGGAACAACTCAGCAAAGGAGGGTGAAAATGGTTGCACAACTCGAAGAATGTAATCAACGTCACTAAATAGTACACGCAGGAACTGCTGAATTGGTATGTGTTTTGCTATATATTCTCATTAACAACAACAAAATAAATAAAATTTAGAAAAAGGAAAAATACACAATAACATTACTCTGAGAAGAGGTCCAGAGGCTTCACTAGATGTCAAAGGACTCGTGTTACAAAAAAGATCAAGAACCCTGCCGCAGACGAAGGACTTGTTTGGGAAATGCCAGCATAGTTCTCTTACACAAGGGAATTCCTATACCACCCCCATGTCTTCCACATATCCTACCAAGCAGTATGACCAGCTTGCTTCGGTATATGTCAGTCATCATCCCAGAAGCTTTCTGGGGCTCCTGCCTTTTTGTGTTCACAGTGCATTTTGAGGAATACTTAGCACTGCCTGTGGAGTCTGGTCCTGATCGTGCCCAGACAGCTGCGGCCTGTTCTGGCTTTACCCAGTGGGAAGAGAGAGGGCCTGCCTAGGTTGGTTTTGGTTCCTCCAGGGCAGTGCTTTCTGCTGCTACAGTTGACCACTTCCCCTCCTATGGCAAAAGCCAGGCCCTGGCTCTAAGAGAATGTGAGAAAGCAGAAAAAAGGGCAGAGAAGTGGGTGAACTCTAGGCTTGGGGATAGCACAGGGGCTCTGTATGGATTTACCAGAGTTACATCTACTGTCTGCACCCACAGGCTCTTTCCCAGCAAATATGATTCATCTAATAGCAGTGACAGCCATGCAAGAATATCTGCACAAGGCTTGGGTACCCATGTATGACGATGTGGCTACAGTAAAAGGTCATGGCTAACTCTGAGCCCCTTCTGTGAGACTCGGTGCAAATTTCAGCTTCAGAGTTCAGAATCACATGGAAGAGTAGAAAAAACAAACACTTGGGTTCACTACTGGCTCCTTCCCTTCCTTGCTAGCTGGGTGACCTTTCATTAACTCACAGATAGTTTCTGAGTGCCAATCACGTGCTAGGCACTGAGCATAGGGAGGTGAACGAGACACAGGTCCTGCCTCCACTCACTGAATTTACTCTCTAGTAGGGAGGCATGTTGTTGTTGACCAAATTACAAACTGCAATATGCATTAGGAAATAAATGAGCAAGGAATTATGTGGGGACAGAGATGAGGTAGGATGGTTGGAGAAGGCCTCTCTGAGGAGGTGATGTTCCAATAAATATTAAAAGCTAAGGTAGAGCCAATCATGAAGAGAGAGGGGAAAACCTAAGCAGAAGGAATAGCACATGCAAACGGTCTAAGATGGGAAAGAGCCTGGACTGATAAGAAACTGAGAGGAGGCCAGAATTACAGAAACATCGTGGGAGGGAGAGACTGGTGATAAGTAAGGTCAGAGGGAAGGGCAAAGGCCAACAGTGGGTGTTCGAGTTCATAATGAAGTGCGAGAAGCCATGAAGTTTTAAGCAGGGGAGAGACAGTCCGATTTTTTTTTTTTTAAATGTGGTAAAACACACATAAAATTTAACATTTAATCATTATAAAGTATACAATCCAGTAGCATTTAGTACATTCACAATGTTATACAACCATCACCACTATCTAGTTCCAGAACTTTTTCATCACCCTAAAAGGAATCCCCATATCCATTATCAGTCACTCCCCATTCCCTGCCCCGCGGCCAGCACCTGGCAATCACTAATTTGCATTCTGTCTCTATGGATTTGCCTATTCTGAACATTTTCATATAAATGGAATCACATAATTTAAAAAAATATTGCACAGAAATGAGAACTGAAAGCTTTGTAAAAAAATAGGAGTCAAGTTTATGCTTTTGTTTTAGATGCTGTGGCCCCATTTTTGGGGGGGGGATAGATGATGATTATTCCTTCTAATGCCAGGCTAATAAAGTATAGGCCAATAATTGAGCGGGTGGTACGAAGTCTCTGTACTCAAACTACTTCCCAATTCTTTCCTAACCTGGAAAGTTGGTGATAGAGAACCCAGGTTGAGAAGGGACAGTGCTGACATGTCATGGGGTTGTTAACCATTGTCATAGGGCAGTATGTGTACTAACTGTTTAATGAGAAACTATTTGTTCTATAAACCTTCATCTAAGGTGCCAAAAAAAAAGAATTATCTATCTGAGATCAAATTGACAACAGCAACTCAAAAGGTTTGATGGGAAGCCTAGAGGACAGTGAGTTGAAGATAAGGGTGATGGAATAATTTGGAAAAGGATAGTGAGAATAGCAGTACAACTGGAAGAATGTAATCAATATCACTGAATTGTACGTGTAAAAACTTTTGAAATGGTGTGACTCTGGCTATGTGTATTTCCACCAAAAAAAAGGTCCTCCAAGGTTGAGAAGGGAGAGTGTTGACATGTTGTGGGGTTGTTAACCAACGTCATAAAACAATATGTGTACTGACTGCTTAATGAGAAACTATTTGTTCTGTAAACCTTCATCTAAAGTACAATAAAAAAAATAAAAACTACAACAATTCTTTCCTAACCTGAACCTTGCTGCTAGGAACAAAGCACAACACGCCAGCAACTGGGAGCTTTAAAGATAGTTAAAAACAACGGGGAATTAAAATTTGGACACAGAGAAGAGAGTTAGAACTTGCAGGTGGTCAACTACTGCTTTGTCACGGGGGGAGGGAGAAGATGGATAAAGATCCCCAGATCAGTTATTATCAGTTACATAATATTGTAATGTCTTAAAATATTTACAGGGGAAAATAAGAGCTTCAGATGGTTTAAATGCTTATCTAGCAAATACTGAAATGCAAAAAAACAGTTTAATTAAACACGAAGAATGAGAAACTTAAAATCTGTATTTTGGGCAATTATATGAAAAGGTTTAACATGCTGGCAGAAGAGTTATGTAAGTCATTAAGACCTAATTCTGAGGGGCTAAAAAAAAAAGTACCAAAGTCAAGTGTCACATGACCAAACTTGCTGCTTTCCCGGGTCCATGCGGGTACGTGCTGGGCAGATCACTCTCCATCAGCAGAGTGGAATGAAGGCTGATAAATGTCGTTTTATACTCTGAGGATGTTTAATTCACTCTTACATGTTTGCCTGGGACTGTCCTAGAGGTCTCTGATGTTCTGTTTTTTTTTCCTTCTAAAGGAAATGATGAGAGGAAAGACATGGAAGGAAAACAAGAGTACAATCTTCAAAGCAGATTTCAAGCTGGTGTAATGGCATTAGTGGATGATGATGTAATGGGAAAAGATTTGGAGCCAATTTCTGATGCTGGAGGCCTACAAGCAGTTCCATACATCAAAAGGAACTCCAAATACCTGAGAAGCAATATGATCTTGGAGTTCCTGGAGGGGATTAAACAGGAGAGTGTTGAACCAAAACTGGACATGACAAGATAAAATCTCGAGTACTAAATAACCAAGTGCGGTTCCCTCAAAACTCAGCTTCCTTGTAACATTTTCACTAATCACTACACGGCCCC